AGAGGGAAATTTCTGAACTTCTTCAAACACGCCAGACTTGAATATAATCTCTACATAACATATTTTTCTTCAAATCAAAAGGTTGAAAATATTAAGGGGGGCTTTATGACGTCTTCTGTAAGGGAATTAAGGAAGGAAGGCACATTCTCATTCTCTTTCAACTTGTTTTTTTCCTGTTCCTTTTCTGGTATATAAGGAGAAGGGGGATGCTAGTCCTCAAGGGAACACAAGTGCTTCATGTCTTCGGTGCAGGTGGGGATGACACAGATGTTGCACAATCAGTGACTGGTAGGAGCTGCTGTTGCACTTTCGTGATTCTGCAAATAATAACAGGCCAAAGGATGGCCAGATGTGGCTCCTGAAACGCCTGGTCTCTTCCTTGAGAGGAAGGGAGGGAGGAGGTTGCTGGTCCCACACAGAACAAGTGAAAGATGCAGGAGAAAAGGAAATCGTTATGTCCACCAATTCTCCTTCTGGTGGATTGTTCCAAACATTAAAAGAGAAAGAGAGAGGATTGATTGTGATCTGCCTTAGCCCATTTGGTTCTCTCCTTTCCCCCTCAAATTGTGGTTTCTCCTCTGTTTTTCCATCTTGAAAAAATATTACGCTCTTAATTCTGTTGCATTTGTAAATTAGGTTTTACATGTTGATGATGAGATTAAGTAGAGTCAGAAAATTTCATCTATTGTTTCGAAGCCAGTTTGAAGTATGGCGTGTTTGAAGAAGTTCAGAAATTTCCCTCTTCCTCAAGCAGTTTGGTTTTTAATTGAGACCTTTTAATTCATCCCGGTTTCAAAATCTCCTCTATGCAAATGTGTCCTCTGGTCATTGGCTAAACTAGAAAACCTCATCATGCTTATAGGGGAATAAAATATTCTAGAAGAACCAATGAGTGCTGATCTCATTTGCATTAAAAGGTAACGCAAGAGGCTTTAAAGGAAAGGAAAGGAGAAGATCTGAAGAAGGTGATAATTTTCCTCCCTAGAAGGACATTCCTTGGCCAAAGTTGACCATGGTCTGCTCTATGTTCTTCTTTGCACTCCTCACTTACTGCACAGGTAACATTTTTCTTGGTCTGAGAGAGGATTTGGTTGATGGATTCTCAGAACTTGGTCAATGCAAAGGAAGAAGCATCAGTTTAACAATGTTTCTTTCCTTTTCTCTCTCCACTCTTTCTCTCCCTGCCCCCCCCTCTTGAAAGGCATTGATGGTCAGTCCACTTGGACTCAGCCTCATTCCAGCTCTGTATCCCCACGTGGAACCGTTACTCTCTCTTGTTCAACAACTCACAATTCCTACCAGATTAGCTGGTATCAACAGAAAGCAGGAGAAGGCCCTCATTTCGTCCACTGTAGCGGCTGCAGTAGAAGGGGAGAAAGGATCCCGAATTGGTTCACTGCCATCACCAATGCAGAGGCTGGAGACGAGGCAGTTTATTACTGTGGTAACTTGAACAGTGCAGTTACTGAGTTGCACGGTGGTACATTCTTATGGGGAAGTCTGACAAAAACCTCCTCACTGCATCTTCAGCCTGAAACCACAAGTAGCAACCCTTGAACCTGTGTCTGGGGACACCTGAACTGAAGATGCAGGCGAGAAAGACTTGTAAGTTGATTTCCATCTTGAGAGGATTCTCTCAGTCTCTTCCATGGAGGTAAAAGGCACCGGAGAGAAGTTCATGGGAAGCAAACAGCCCCATGGCTCTTGTTTTCTGAGCAGAAACTGTGAAAGGAACTGATGAAAAATTGGAGAAGGAAGAGATCATTTTCAGCTCTTTAGTACTGATTGGTTAAATTAGAGGACCTCAAAATGCTTTTGGGGAAGGAAGTTTTCTAGGAGGACCAATGAGGGTGGATCTCATTTGCATGGAAGGAGAAAGCAAGGGGCATTTAAGGAAAGGAAAGGGGAAGATCTGAAGAAGGTGGTACTTTTCTTTTCTAGAAGGACATTCCTTGGCCAAAGTTCACCATGGTCTGGTCTGTGTTCTTCCTTGCACTCCTCACTTACTGCACAGGTAACATTTTTCCTGGGATGAGAGAGGATTTGGTTGATGGATTCTCAGAACTTGGTCAATGCAAAGGAAGACGCATCAGTTTAACAATGTTTCTTTCCTTTTCTCTCTCCACTCTTTCTCTCCCTGCCCTCAACTCTTGAAAGGCATTGATGGTCAGTCCACATGGACTCAGCCTCCCTCCACCTCCGTGTCTCCAGGTGGAACCGTTACACTCTCTTGTTCAACAACTCACAGTTCCTACTACATTAGCTGGTATCAACAGAAAGCAGGAGAAGGCCCT